ATTGTATTTTTTAGTTTATATTTATTTTAATTTTAGTTTTCATCATTTTTTTTGTTATTTGCATTGGATTTTATGCTTCTTGAAATTTTTTTCTCAATATCATTTTTGGTTATTTTACTTCATTTAATTTTTATATTTAATTCAATTTTATTCTTGTTATTATAATTTTTTTTAGATTTTTGCTTTGTTAATTTTTTGTATATTCCTTCTATGAATTAATTCTGATCTTATGATCAAGTTGTTAATTTTGAATATTAACTTGGTTTAAGTAGGTTCTTAGTTAATTAGAGTTATCGTGGTTTTTTTTTCTTGATATTTTTTTTAAATTGAATTTTTTTATTTTATTTTTATCATTTAATATTAAATCATTGGTCATTAAAATTTGTAATTTTTTTTATGTGGGAATATCTCAAGGTTCAATAAGTTAAATGAACCTGAGCATAATCATTTTTTTAATAAAAAATAATTAATCAAGTTGATTTGAATATTTTATATTTTTTAATTTTATTATTTTACATTAAACTATTATACCTATATTTTGTTATTTTTTCTATTTTTCAGACAGAATTATCTCAATCTATCTGGGATAGCAAGTTAATCAAATTATCATACGATTTAAGTTATTATTGCACCTGTGCTGCTATATTGCATGACACCTGTCCAGTACTTGTAATTGGGTAAGGGATCATAAGATTATGGTCTGATGCGTTTTTTTTTATTTGAGAGTGACCTGATCTTACTTCTAGGCTAAGCTTAGACAATAGAGCGCAGCCCCACCTCAAAACAAATGAATTCTTGAAGCCCAAGATAACCACAAAATAATTAGGGAAGAGACCTTTTTTTTTATATATATTTTTTTTTAAGGAAATGGAAGAAAATGTAACCCTTTTTTTTTAATATTTTTTTTAAGGAAATGGAAGAAAATGTAACTTTCAAAAGCTATTCCATAAACATGATAAAAGCAGTGTTTGTTTGTGGAGTTCAACTGTGTTTTTTAAAATTTTCAGGCACTAGGAACTGGCAAGTAGGAATTGAAATAAAGCCTCTTGCTTTTTATTGCATATCTTAGGCTCTTCTAAATTAGTATAAACTAGCCTAGTCTCGGCCCATTTATCACCTTCAAATAAAATTTCTTTGAGGTTTAGAAATTATGATCCGTGTTAGCCATGAGACCATTATTATTATTTTTTTTAAAATTCTATAAATAAATAAATAAATAAAAATAAAAAAATAACAAGCGAAAGCATGTCATTCCCATCCAAGATAAGTCAAGACTTGACGGGCTAGGAAGAAATTCTCAAGGAACAATACTTTTATTCTTTTTCTTTAGATAATTTCTTCATAAAACAATAAGTATTTTAAAGCGGTGAACAAATTGAATCAAGATCTTATGAATATATAATTAAAAATTTTAAAAATTCAAATAAAAAAACTAGAGTTCTAAAAAAATCCTAGCAACCCAAGAGGCTTGAAGCAAGTAGGTTGGTTAAGGTTTCATGTTAATCTACATTATGAAAAACGGTGAAGAAAAGGCAATGTATAAATTGTAAGAGAGATAGAAAAGTAATTAATAAATAAATAAAGTAAAATATAATTAAAACGAATAAAGATAAGTATAAAATATAAAGTGAAAAGGCATAAATTAAAGTAAATTAAAGTAGTAAAGTATAACTGAAAAGTGTGTATATATCAAATCATGTGAATTACCAAAAATATTAAAAGGCATGTGCATGTATATTACTATGCATTCTCTTATAATTTAAAGGCATGTGCATGAATATTACTGTGCATTCTCTTATAATTTATGGAGTAATGTATTTTTTTAGTAATTTTTATTTTAGTTCTTGAATTTTTATTCAACATGATTAATTTTGAGCTTAAATTAGCCTCCTTAATTGCATTTTTTTAAGAGGGAGGATTAAATTGAAAGCTAAGGGATTAAAATGAAAATCTCAGATAACATAGAAGATAGGTTGAAAGTTTTATTGAAACATTTATTTTAATCCATTATATTTTTTTTAGATATTAGTGCATTTTTTTTATCTTTATTCTTTTGATTTTTATCCTTTAGATAATGTTTGTATTCTTTTTAATTTAATTCTCAAATTTAAAATTTATTATTACATTTTGATTTATTTTTTATTGCAATTTTAACATTCATTTTTTATTGCATTTTTTTATTTTGAATTTTTTTGTGTTATTTTATTTAATTGAGACCTCATGAATTTTTCATATATAATGCTTTTGGTCTTATAACTTGGGTTCTAGTTTAAAAAGTTAAAAGTAATTGATTTTTGTATCATATTTTTTTATATTAATATTTTTTATATTTTTCTTTCTATAAAATTATCCTATTCTTATTTAATTTTTACTTTGTTAATAAATAAGATCATTGAGTTGTTTTTGAAATATTATGAATATTTTTTTAAAAATATTAATAAACATTCATCTTTTATATTAAATCATTTTTTTTTCTTATTTTGTTTATTGTCAATATCTTATTTTTCAATAATATTATTAAATTTATTCAAACCAATTACTTGAATATTATATGTGTGTGTATTTCATATTTTATATTTTTTACGCCAAAACAAAGATTAACCCCTAGCATAGCACAGATTACTTAATTAGTGTATATATATAAAATATGAATGGCCAAATTTGATTCTCCATCATTAATAACCATAATAACGCAACCAAGCACACCGTTGATTTTTTCAAATCCAATTTACTTTTATTTTTATCTTTGGGGGGGGGGGGGGGGGGAATCTCCAAAGTCATGTCCACACCAGATGTTAACTGCGAATGATGTTTGACGGTTAACCAGCTTATGATGTTGTTTTTACGGCTAATATCAATCACCTTTTCTCAATGGCATTGCCATTGTATCTTACTGACCACAGAATGACAGAGACTGACTGATACTCCCTCCAAGATTAGCCACTGTATTAAGCAGCCTTTTTGTCCATCCAGTTAGCCATTATATTACAAATACACAGCATAATCTTGGACATGGTGGCCTCTCTTTTCCCATTGATTGATCTTTGAATGCCTTTATTATGCCTTGATTATCAGCTGCAACCTTCCTTTCAAACTCCTTTTGTTTATTCTAGTGTTGTCTGAAATATCAAGTTCTGCAGAGTCAAAGTCTTGAGAAACGATTAAAATTAGATTAGCAGCCTGAAAAACAACCACTTTCTGGTAATAAATGGGGACAGACACAACACATTCAAACACAGAAATTCGAAAAAAGAAGCTTGATTGGTCACAAGTCTCACCAACCAAATAATAAGATCCTTTTTAGCTAGCTCCATACGAAAGTCAGGCGTTGACTTTTTATTTAAAATTTTATATCATTTTGCCCCCGCCTTCCAAACCTGACATTAATCAACGCAAAAGGTGAATGCACTATCTTCAGTTTTTAGTTTTCTCATTCTCAATCAGTATTATAGAATTATTGTTCCTTGAAGGTGTAGAGAAAAGTTAAATGAAAAGGCATGAATTCTTCATTCATGGAAGGCCAAACTATTTTGTTCCTTTTGTCTATTGTTTTCTTCTTATCAATCCCCTCTACAGCAATAGACACCATCAATGCCACTCAATCACTAAAAGATGGGGACACCCTGGTCTCATCACAAGGCCATTTTGAGCTGGGTTTTTTCAGTCCTGGAAATTCCAGAAATCGGTACGTGGGAATATGGTACAAGAAGATATCTAGCTTTACAGTAGTATGGGTTGCCAACAGAAATACTCTTCTAAATGATTCATCAGGAATGTTGAAGTTTGTTGACCATGGAAATCTCGCCATTATCAATAGTACAAATGGCACTATTTGGTCCTCAAATTTATCAAGGGCAGCAATCAATCCAGTTGCACAACTTCTGGACACAGGAAATCTAGTTGTGAGAGCTGAAAATGACAATGACCCTGAAAATTTCCTATGGCAGAGTTTCGATCATCCAGGGGACTCGTTTTTACCAGGCATGAAATATGGTATAAGCTTCGTGACCGGCCTCAATCGATACCTGACATCCTGGAAGAGCCCCAGCGATCCTTCTACAGGTAAATATACAAATAAGCTTGATCCAAATGGATTGCCACAGTACTTTTTATCTCAGGGTTCAGTTGACCAGTTCAGGTCAGGACCCTGGAATGGACTGAGGTTTAGTGGTATGATAAATTTGAAGCCAAACCCAATTTACACATTTGAGTTTGTTTTCAATCAAGAGGAAATATATTACAAGTATCAAATCGCTAACAGTTCAGTTCTTTCGAGGATGGTGTTAAGTCCTGATGGTGTCCTGCAGCGTTTCACTTGGATCGATCGAACTCAAGATTGGAACCTATACTTGACAGAAAATATGGATAACTGTGACAGGTTTGCATTATGTGGTGCACATGGTGTTTGTAACATCAACAACTCCCCAGCCTGTGATTGTTTGAAAGAGTTTGAGCCAAAATCCCTGGAAGATTGGACAGCTGCAGATTGGTCACAAGGATGTGTTCGAAAGGTCCCATTGGATTGCAGCAATGGAGAAGGTTTTATAAAATATACTGGGATTAAAGTGCCAGACACACGGAAGTCTTGGTATAACAAGACAATAAACCTTGAAGAATGTGAGGAGGTCTGTTTGAAGAATTGTTCCTGTACAGCCTACGCGAATTTGGATGTTAGAGATGGAGGAAGTGGGTGTGTTCTGTGGTTCGGTGACTTGATTGATATCAGGCAATACAACGAAAATGGGCAAGATATCTATATAAGGATAGCTGCTTCTGTAATAGGTATGAGTTTTTTCTCTGTTCTTGAATCATAGAAAGTTTGCATTTCCACCAGATTTGAAGTTAGAATCTCTGAAGTGAAACTCAAAAACATAAAAATATGTTAATGCGAGGAAAAGTAGTAACCAAGTATAAATAGAGTCCCTGAGAAGATATGTGTGTGCTATGATTTATGCTGATTTTTGGATTTCATTGTTTATCATGTTAATGCAATTTTCGTTATACTTCTTGAGTCTTTTTATGGCAGATAAACGTGTCAAATCCAGAGGGAAGAAACGAGTAAGGATCATTGTTATTCCCGAATCACTAGTGGCATTTTCCCTCTTAGCCCTTTGTCTGTTCTTGCGTATCCTGAGGAAAAACAAGAAACGGCAGCTAACAAGAGAAGGTAGCCGATTATAACTATACTACAGTAAACTTTTCTTTAGCTGATAAATTGTAGAATTTGAAGGCTTTAGAGTCCCTAATGTACTTCTTTTCCCACTTCGTCTTGGCCGTCAAACTTATGGCTACAATCAGTTTGCTGTGCTCTGTCTTTAAGCTATTTAATTGGATCACTGTGGTGAAGATGGATATATGATTCTTTTTCTACAAAAACTGCTGCATGCTTCGTGCTTACCTTGATTTTAATAATACCTTAGTTTTCTACGACATGTTGATTCTGCCATGCATGGCCGATGTTTATTACTTTTTAGCTCATCTTCAATCCATTTCAACTTGCTGGAAATGTGGTAACCAATACAGAGCAAGACCGCACCAAGGAAAGCAGAAATGAAGATTTAGAGCTACCACTGTTTGATTTGGCTACATTAACAGATGCAACCAATTGCTTTTCGATAAACAACAAGCTTGGCCAGGGTGGTTTTGGACCAGTCTACAAGGTATCAACATTAAGACTGCTTTCAGCTCCTTGGATCAGTATCACACATGGCACAAGAACTGAGAACCTGTGGACATGTTTCAGTTACCAGTTTTGTAGAGGATATGAACATCCACGAATCATATTATAGTATTCCATCTCATCTCTTCATATTATTTCGCAACTGATATATAAAATTGTTTCAGGGTATACTGCAAGATGGACAAGAAATAGCAGTGAAGAGGCTATCTAAAAGGTCACGACAAGGAATAAATGAGTTCAAAAATGAAGTTGTATGCATTGCCAAACTTCAGCATCGCAACCTTGTGAAGCTTTTAGGATGCTGCATTGAATTAGAAGAAAGGATGCTGATATATGAATACATGCCAAACAAAAGCTTGGACTCTTTCATTTTTGGTTTGTTCCCCTCAAACCTTATCCTCTAGTAGTTTAGTTACAACTTTTTCTGCATTATTGTTAGAATTTTTAAACATATGCACAAAAGTCGTCCTAAAGTTTTGACCTATAGAGTTCCATTCTAGATCGTTAGGACAAAGTTAATCATAATGATGGCACTGGTTGAAAATCTCAACATGATAATCAGAATGATGGCACTGGTTGAAAATCTCAACATTTTTCTAGATGGTTCTCTAGCCATTTTCGTATTTTTTGTCAACAAGTGCAGCTATATATTACAAGGAAAGTCAACGCTCTATTATACTCTTTAGATGGATTAATTAGTTGAGAAATGTTTCAACATCAGAGATTAACTAGGATAAATAACTGTGTAGATAAAAGGCGAAACATGTTGCTGGACTGGACTAAGCGCTTCCCCATTATCAATGGGATTGCAAGGGGACTTCTTTACCTTCATCAAGATTCAAGACTCAGAATCATACATAGAGATTTAAAAGCAAGCAATATTTTGCTGGATTATGAGATGAATCCAAAAATTTCAGACTTTGGCATGGCTAGGAGTTTCGGAGGGGATGAAACTAGCGCAAAAACAAGCAGAATTGTTGGGACATAGTAAGGATCTTTCTGAATTTTAGTTTACTATCATTTACAGTGCCCATAAATCTGTAAAACTTATTCAATGGTTTATCTAGTGGTTACATGTCGCCAGAGTACGCAATCGATGGCCTCTTCTCAGTGAAATCGGATGTATTTAGCTTTGGTGTTCTGGTACTAGAGATAGTGAGTGGAAGGAAGAATAGAGGATTCCGTCACGCAGAACACAAGCTCAATCTTCTTGGACATGTAAGCGTTATGCCAACATTATTTTTCATGTTCAAATTACTTTATTGTTTTAGCAACATTCAACCTGAGCCGAGGAGATATTTGAATGTTGTTCAGGCATGGATGCTACATAAGGAAGGAAGACCCCTGGACTTGATTGATGAATCTATTGTAGACTCATGCATTATATCAGAAGTCTCGCGATCAATCGAAGTAGCACTATTGTGTGTTCAAAAAAGTCCTGAAGATAGGCCTAAAATGTCAACTGTGGTTCTAATGTTAAGCAGTGACATTGTTTTGCCTCAGCCCAAGGAGCCTGGTTTTTTCACAGAAAGGGATCTTTCGAGCGATCCTTCGTCAACAATCAAGCATGAAATCTCTTCAGTAAATGAATTAACCTCTACCTTGTTAGAGGCTCGGTAAAACTTGTGATAGTTCGGAGATATTCAACATTTCCTCTCTCTCTCTCTCTCTCTCTCTCTCTCTCTTTCCCGAGTACGGCTACGCACTTCGGATCTAAGAGAAACAAAAGATGGTTGCATAATGATTAACTCTTTCAACTGCAGGAACCGTCTTCCTTTAATCTTTCATCTAATATGTGAGAACAGGGAAATGTCAAGAAATCATCTCTAGCCTTGTGTTAAATAAATTTCCCAGAATCAAAATGCAAGCACATAAATGGAAATATTGAGAAAAAAATTATTTAATGTGAAATGTGAAAAGTATACCAAGAACACAGAAAGCATGCAAGTCCAACAAACGCAGCAGTTGTTCAGAGAAAAAACGATACCTGATTTTCGATCTAGTTAACTGATGAGCTTCCAGAGATTAATTTGAATAAATTCTCCCTTATTTCCAATTACATTTGTGTAATTTCATTGCAGAATTTTTAATTTAAGAAATCCTATTTCACTACTGATTCGGTACTTGGAAGAACAAAATCTTCATAGAAACATAGAAACATCAAATTCTGCACCTCTCTTCTTTCAGGATCTGCCAACCTTGACCTTCCTTTTTCCTTGGGTAAGAAACAAAGAAATTGAATCTCAGATATTGTTAATGAAAATGAACACAAACTGATATCTGAAGAATGTAGAAGAAAATTAGCACATCATTTTTCATAGATTACAGACTACATGTCTACATAATATAATTGAATCATCATCCATATGGTCAAGAAATAATCCATAATAAAATCCATCCAGAAAGCTTGCATCACTGTTACCCAGAAACATCGCACCTTGTTAAGCTTTTCTCAAATGATAAACGGCAGGAGCAATATACGAGTGTATTTTTGAAGTCATAACAGGGATAAAAACTGACACCTTGTGATGTTTTGAATTAAAAGAAATAGGAAAAGACAGCAAAGTTGGATATAAATAAATGAGAGGTAGTATGATAATTGAATAAATATAATAAATATAAATTAAAAAAAAAGAAAAAAAAAAAGAGGGATCTGAAATTTTAGTGTGAGGGACGGCAGGAGAGAAGAGAGAAAGAAAAAGAAGAGAAAAAAAGAGGGCAAGATAAAGAAGCAAACAGAAGTTAAAATAAAATAAGTTAAAAGGGTAAGATTTATATTTTGATACGTATAATGTATGTTTTTTGAGCTTTTAATTTTTGTTTTGATAAATGTTAAGATTTTAAAAATTATGTTTTGGGTTGATTAATGAATTAATTTGAATATTATAGGTTGATTGTTGTGGATAATAAATTAATTAGTTAATTTTGAAATATTGTAAATACATATGATAATTTTGAATTATAATTTTGTTTGAATGGTAAATTTATATTAGAAATCATGAGAAAACAGTAAGTAATCTGTGTAAATTTTGGGTTTGAGGTTGAAGATGATAAAAATTCAGTTTAGTCCCTCAATTTATGAAAATTATAGTTTAGTTCCTAAACTTTGAAAAAATTACAGATTGATACCTAAAGCATATTCCAAGATTCTAAACAGAATAAAATATGAATTATGGGCAGAATTACAGTTTAGTTATGAATTTTTAACACTTTCAATTTGGTCCTCCAATTTGATAAAAATGAACATTTGACCCTAAAAATTTGGTAAAATTCCAGAATGGTCCCTAGAGTATAATGAGATATTCTGGACAGAATTGAGGATTAATTATGGTCAGAATTTCAGTATAGTCATGGATTTATGACAATTTTAGTTTGGTCCTCCAATTTGAAAAAGTTACAATTTGACCCTTAAAAATATGATAAATTTCAGATTGGTCCCTAGATGTAATATTAGCCTTTTCAGATTGGTTTGATAAATAATTGAGTATTATTTAGTGAATTATTATCAAGTTTGATTATTTGTTTTATTATGGATTATATTTCGAGAAAACTATTTAATTTTGGGTTTTTAGAAAAATAAATAGTTCAGTCTAAAAACATATACAATTATGGAATATACCCTTAGATAAGTGTATTAAATTGATTATATATTCTTTTGAGTCATTTTTGAATATGTTTTATTTGTATTTAGATAATCCTGATATTTTATCTGCGGGATATCGGTAGGATTTCCTTCAGTATTTGTTTTGTAGTGTTGTTTGCTTTCAAGTCAGGTGAGTGAATAATCTTTCATATGTATGAGAAATATTATAAATATTTAATTTGTTAATAAGAATTGGATCATACTTCTTGATAATATACATACTGATTATTATCCTTGTTATGATAAAGTATGATCAATTGTTGAATCTGAATTTTTGATATGAATCAATATATATTTTGAATTGACTTCTGAATTGATAGCTTCTCATTTGATTGATGTCATGAGTTGAGTCTTGAGATATGAATATATCTGTTTGATTATAATTATAAACCTATGATATGCAAGTCAGAATACCCATGTTAACAACATAGTGTTAGTCTTTGTGCACATTGTATCTGAACCCTAGTTAGTCAGGGGAGTCACCAACATGTGTGAATTGATCATTCCATAGTACGGAACCTCATACTTATTGCATTTTAATTTTTTTGACAAGCTTTACCTTTTGATTTTTTGTCATGATCTATTTGAGAAACCTTGCTATGTTATAAGAATCTAAAGCTATTATTGTTGTATTACCTCGTATTTGTATATTGAATGTTATCTACTCATTAAGTTGTTGAACTCACCTTTTCATTATTTATCTTTTCAGGCTTATAGCTTGTTAGCAGTTCATTTTTGTTGACCCTTCCAAATCTGCTTTTTAGTTGTAATTTGTACCTTTCTTTTATATCTAGTTTGTGCTTTGAAATTATGAATTTATATGAACTCTTGTATTAAAATAATTAAAATATTATAAATTTAATTTTTTTTATTAATACTATGTTGAACTCTAATTGAGTTGTTTAAAAAATAAGTTTGCATGTAAGTTTGGGTTCGTGTAAGTATAAAACTTTGAAGGAAAATCTTGTCTATAAACCAATTATTAATAACCAATCGTGAATCTGAGATTCGGATCGTGACACACCACTGCTCGTTGGAAGTTGCCCGCAATTAGTTGCTGGATTCATGAAAATGTAACGCATTAATATAATATTGTCTCTGTCACTCTTCAATATTATGTCCACTACACTGAAACTAGTACTGTGGGCAGAACGAACTGTCACCATTTGAATTGCTGAAGGCTTGGAGTTTATAGCTTGTTGCATGATTGAGCAGGTAAAATATCCATTGAATGCCAACTGAAGATAGCCTACCGCGCTTGTAACAGTGTTAGTGTAACTTCATTTGCTGACTGAGATTGGTGCTTGTTTGATGAAGTATCCTTTTCAGGTGGATTACTTCCCATAAAAAAACCAGGCTGTTTAGGCTGAGGCAATGGATTTTCACTGCCAAGCATTAGAACAACAGATGACATGTTTGGCCTATCTTCTGGTCGTTGTTGCACGCATAGTAGAGCCACATGAATGCATCTTAAAGCTTCCGGAGGTGTGCATGAATCAGCAAAGCATTCATCAATTAGTTCCAAAGGAATCCCATTAAACCAAAGCATCCATGCGTGGAAAGAATCATGGCAACAGGTCAGTAGGCTGATTTTACCCCAAGGTGCATATGACTATCGCTACTGCTAACATTTCAGGACTACTACAAATACATTCCAGAGGAAGGCCAAAAAACTTGTAAAATTAATGCAATATGTCAATTAATCAGATACCTGAGAGGAACCAAACCAATACATATCACCAGTCTATTTGTTTCTAAATACTTACATGCCCAAGAAGGTTTTGGTTGTAGTCTGGGTGACAAAATCCTCTATTTTTCTTTCCACTCACTATCTCTAGGACGAGGACACCGAAGCTGAAGACGTCAGATTTGACAGAGAAGTGTCCATCCAATGCATATTCAGGAGACATATAACCACTGCAAATATATATTATACCATGAAAGGAATTTCTCCAAATACACAAATGAAAATCAACTAAGGAAGTACAGGACACTTACTATGTTCCAACTACCCTCTTTGTATTGGCCTCAGTTTGATCTCCACCAAACATTCTTGCGAGACCAAAGTCTGAAATTTTTGGGTTTAACTCATTATCCATCAAAATGTTGCTGGCTTTGATATCTCTATGAATGCTTCTGAGTCTAGAGTCTTGGTGAAGATAAAGAAGCCCTCGAGCTATTCCATCAATGATGTGAGTACGCTTACTCCAATCTAGGAATTTTCTTCTTGTTGGGTCTGGCCAATTTGTCATACATATTAGTCTGATAACTAGATGAAACCGAAAGAAAATAATAAGAAGGTGATACAACTAAAATGTGTTGATCAGGAAACTGGACAGGTTCATACCAAAAATAAAGGAGTCTAAGCTTCTATTAGGCATGTATTCACAAATCAACATTTTTTCATCTTCATGAATGCAACAACCGAGCAGCTTTACGAGATTGCGGTGCTGGAGTTTAGCAATTAATAGAACTTCATTTTTGAACTCATTCAATCCTTGGCCAGAACTCTTCGAAAGTCTTTTCATCGCTATTTCCTGTCCTTCTATCAATTCACCCTAGATCAACGTCATTCCCGCTATTTCCTGTCCTATCAATTCACCCTAGATCAACGTCATTCACATAGCTTTGTTAGTTTTTCCATTAGAAGATAGCTTGATTGCACATGTTGAGTGGTTTTAGCTGACCTTGTATACAGCTCCAAAACCACCTTCTCCCAGCTTCCTGCTGCTAGAAAAGTTATCTGTGGCGTGCTCAATTGTGGTTAAATCAAACATTGGCAACTCCATGTCTTCTTCCTTCCTATATTCGAAATTGCTATTCTTTCTGTGCTTTGTTCTTCGGATACAGAAGACAATTCCTAATATTAGAATGCTTGGGCCGAGAATGACAGCGCCACCAATTACTCCTGCGTGGGTCTTCTTTCTTTTCTTTTCCCCGGTTACTACTGAAATCTAAGACTATTAGTTGGTTGGAATTTTGCCCTGTTCAATGCAGTAACTTAAACAGAATTTGAATGATCTTTGAGTTCTATTTTTGAGAATAAAAAAAAAAAGGGAAATCATATCAACTAAGTTCAGATAGCGAACATGGTGCTGTTTTTTTTTTCCATAGTCGATGAACCAGATTTGAAGAGAAATAATGGTTAAATTTCTATCAATGTTGGTGCTATGTCCTTACGATTAATAATTAGTTGCCAACTGAAGCCATACCTGATTGTGAAGCGGCTAGCCGTATAAAAATATCCTGC